TGAAACCGCTGACTTTAGTTGCGCGCCAAATTTAAATGACTAATTTGAAAATTTTTTTAAAAACGTTTTTTTCTTATCTAATGTGTCTATAATCAAAAAATAAGTTACATTTTCAGTTATGAATACATAAAAAAAATGACTTTATGCCAAAATATCAGGCTTTTTGACCATAGTGCAATATAAGAAACAATATTTATTGCTCACATTCAAGTTACTTCCATAATAATTCCCAAAGCATATTCACACATATCATAATATATATACTATTTCTTAAATGTCAACACCTTCGTCGTCGTTAATGAAGGCTAATTCAATATAATATTAAAGTGTTGCCCCCATTGGGCATACAGAAAATCAATGAATTATCTGCGTTTCGATTGTAATTTAATATACATTTATGAGTAATAGAAATCTGTACAGCTATTGCCTTATGCACACAGTGGTATACAGTATATACTCAAACACCATAGTGTTTTCGTGTCTGATAGCAACTAATGTCGCTCGACGTGGCCGGGAGGTTAACTTGTAATTAAATGTCAATTTCCAAACATCGCAACAAAAGGCATTAAGACATTAGCAATGGCTACACACAAAAAAAAAAAATAAATAAATAAATAAATAAAAAAAAAAAACCGAAAACGAAAAAGAAACGTATCAAATGTATTGAAAGTAAAAGCATGAAAATCGTTTTGTTTGTTAACAATAGTTAGTGAATGGAGCGAGTGTGGTGGGCCCTCACCTCACCTGTATATGTATGAGTACCTGGCATATTTGGCGACTGAGCCAAGACTTTAGTTAGCTATTATAATAAAATTACGGTTCACGAACGATTTGCGACACTTGCCACAGCTACGGAGTGGAAGAACTTGTGGAATATATATTGCAAAGGAAGTTTTGATACCCTAAATTAAATAATTTTATTTATGACGTGATATTTATGTGTATAATATATACATATTTATGATAACCTGGTTAGATATCGATTTTCCTTGTATTTTCTATTATAACAACTTGATTTATGCTATATAGATATATGAATAAAAAAAATAAATACAAAAATCAAAGTACGTTCCCAAAAAAATTGTGTAAATTGGTGTTTCACCATACCAACACCATATTTCAATATCACTGTCATACAATCTACAAAAAAATAGATAAAAAAAAGTATTTCATGATATTAAAAATATTTATTTGTTTTATACCTCATCGTAGGTATAAATTTTATGAGGAATTTAGGGCAAAAGAAAACACATAAATAATACGGAGGATTCAATCGAGACTACTACATTTTAGTGAGTTCAATTTCTATAATAAATATGTAGTATAGTCATACAATTCGTCTTATTTTGATATAAAGACAGGGTCCTCACTATGGGAGAGTCCAATTCATAAACATTTTCATGAAGATCTCTTGATATCGCAGCCGATGCAGAACTATACAAAGTATCACGAAAATAGCTTCATAGTGTTAGATATATAGATAGGTACATATATATACATAAACATCAATACTTATAAATTCATGAAAAATATACATATATCATGACAATTTCATAACAAATGAAAATACCCTCGAAGAGAGTATAAATAAATCAGAGCACCAAAAACAGAGCCAGACTAATTTGGTTGCCACGCCAAGCAGGCAGAAGCGGGCGGAGAAGGTTGAGGTGGCTCTGAATTAGGGTATGCGTTGGAAGGACCGTCACCCCACCCACTCTCCGGCAGCCCCACCCCCACACCCTCAATAGGGGCCAGACACTGCAAATACAAATTACGTTTTGTTGTTTGGTGCGTGCTGAAGATTTTTATCGGTTCGTGTAAATTGTGCAGCTACCAGACGATTGCCTGACAAGCAAATACCGTTGGGTGCATTGGGCTCAACCGTTAATGGCAGGTTAATAAACGTTATTTAGCGACACATACACACCCATACTCTAGTGCACATACATTAAGGTAAGTATTCGTGTCATTTAAACAAACACGTGTTAGCTTTTAATGCATAATTTTTAATGTAATGCGAACTAATTGAGTTTATTTGAAGCAAAATGTCCTCTGATAATATTTGGTAAGAGTAGGGGAGGGCAGAGAAGAGGCTAGAGAAGGGGAAAAGTTTATGCCTACATGAAATTTATATGGCCTTACACAAACATAACCATCCAGATAGATAGGCCAGCTTTTATTAGGTTAAGTGTGCGAACAAGATCGAGATGACCTTTTAACTCTTTTCAACCCCTTTGTGATGGGACATTGCTAGAGGTTACGAGACTACTCTAACCACGTAGATTACTGTAATGGAGGAGCATCTACCACCTCCACTAGAGGCATAAGTAGAAACATCCAGTTAGTCAAATTTGGTATACCTTAGATAGCAAATTGCATATGTAGTTGAAAAGGAAGCACCAGCAGAGGAAAGTATTTTGTTGATGGGGTAAATTAGGTCAAGAACTGTTTAAAGTGGACTTATTAAAGTTTTTAGCAAGAGTTAAAAATAGGTTGTAGAAAAAGAATATATATGATATTAGTCTTAAGCTAAAGTTAATTTTATATTAATTGTAACTTATTAAAAATATTTATAAAAGTTGCTTTATTAAAATGTATTATTTTATTTATTTTGCTATTGGTATTTTTATTGTTTATTTAATAATATGGAACACATGCTCTTTAATTAATTTTTTTTATAGATTTGAATTTATTGATAGTTTAATATAAATTCCATCCCCTCGATGAGATTAATGAACTTTTGTTCAATTTTTTTGTTAAGATAGTAAAGTTTATAAGTTACATTTTTTTTTTTCGCTATATATTTTGGTTTTCATTGCCGAAACTGCACTAAAATACTGAAACACTTTATCAAACTCAAATAGATTTATGCCTATTCACATATTGATTGCAGCTCCTTGATCATTGCATATACCAAGAGCTCAAGCTCAGCATTTCTCCATCAAATCAAGAGAGATAATTTCATTTCGATTTTTTCTGTCTCTCTGCAATTTAAATATAAGCAATCTCGAATGCAGGGCTTCGTCTAAGCAATTTGTTTTTGCAATTGCCAAACCAATTTCAATTTAAGCCGCAAATTTTCCATATTCACATTCTTTTCACATGCTGCCATGTTGCATTTTGTCAAACTAACACATCATTTTCCGGTGCATGCAGGCTAGCCTCCGCTTAGCCTGGTCATTGCTCAGCACCCCTCTCTCTCTCTCTCTCTCTCTCTTTCGATGGGTGCACAGCACGCACTCTGTAACATAAATGTGCATAGAAATTGTTTCCTGTAATTATGTAAATGTCATAGCAGGTTGCTGCTGCGTTCTGCATTCTTACAATGGAAAATGAAAAGCGTAAATGAAAACAGTTTCTATTTTTTTTTTCTTTTTTTTTTGCGAAACTGCAAATATAGAGAGTGAGTGAGAGAGAGAGAGAGCGGCACTCACAGCCCAGAGAATTGACCTTAACAGCAATTAAGCCGCTTAACCCTTTTTGGTCAGAGCCATGCTCCCAACGAGCACTTGGCAAGTAAGCCAAGTCCCACACGCTGCCGCTCGCTTCCTCGCGCTTGCCCTAAAATCCGCATAAAAATTTTTAAGCTACCCGCCACCGCTCTCAACTCTCATCGCTCATCAGACGACGCCCCCTGCCGCCCACCATTTGGCACTTGACAAATGGAAAAATGGCCCCAAACTTCCGGCTGTTACAGCTGCAGTTTGTCAGGCTTCAATTTGTTTGTCGTTTTTGGCTTTTAGCTCGTTGCGAGATTTTCATGAATTTTATGTAACGATCTGCCCCGCCAACACACCGCCCCCTAGCTCCAGGGGTGTTGCTGTGCTGTGTGTGTGTGTGTTTGTGTGTGCTGTGTGAGTGTGTTTGTATCACACGTTGAAAAACTGCATCGAATTGCAAATTCAATAATACTGGTGCGCTTCGTACCCTCCTTACCCCTCTTGCCAACCCACTAGCTACCCCTGCAAGCCTCTCGGCTGCTGCTGCACGTTATTCATATTTCTGTATTTGCCCGTTAGTTTTAAGTATGCCAAACGAATGAGAAGCCAACTCAAGCACCGATACCGATAGCTTTCCCCTTTTAGCAGCACCGGGATCACCAACGTCTCGAGTGCAACACGAAGGCAGCCAGGGCGACAGGGGGCGTGGCTGGAGCTTGCTTTGGCATGCTGTGTAATTGGTTCGATAATAAATACAGCGATTGATTTTTTTCCCGTTTTTTTTTTTTTTATTTCACGCCAAGCTCTCTCAGCATAGTTTCAGATTTAATTAAAGGCAAAAGTGTGTGACAAAAAGGTGTAGAGGGTGGTGAGCGGTCGGGGAGGGTGTATACGAGTTGCATAGAAAATCAGTCAGAAAAAGTGATAAGGGAAAGCCACGATTGCTCGTGCTAGTTTGAGCAACCCACAGGTCGTTGGCCCAGAAAAATTCTGGCTTATTTTGTTGACTGTAAATGGAAGAGATTTTCTTTTGATTTAAATTTCAGTAATAGGCTAAATATACAACTGTCATAATATTGGTTATATTTATTAAAGAGAAATCAAAAATTGGGAAAATTGTTTCGATTGACATTTTTATTTTGCTTTCAATTATTATCTATTAAATCTCAAATTTTCTAGCACACATTATCAATTTGTAGCAGTTTCTATGGCTCATCATTTCGCAATGCTTAAGCTGATCTCAAGTCTGCAGACATTTTAAAGGGTTACACATGCGGAAAATAAAGCCATACTCAGGCCGCTTGTCACGGCCTAAAAAACATAGAAATGCTTAACATAACACTATACAGAATAGGCAAAAAAAAAAAAAAAAAAAAAAAAAACCTATTTTACAGCACTAAATAAATTCGAATGCGACGCCGCATAAAAAATGAAGTAAAAACAAATGCCAGGCACGTTGCTCACATTTATCAAGCGAGACACACATACACAAGAGTCGTGTGTGCTAACAAGAACAACTACAGCTGGCACACCTTCACACAGAGAGAGACAGTGTGGGAGATGAGCCTGTCGCCTGTGTTGACAAAGAGTCGAAAATTTCAGTCACGCGAAAGGATTGAAAGTCATTTGATGTATTCACTGTCATTTAAGTTGGCGAACTGATAAAGTGACTGATAGATAGATATATACAGATGTACGTATATATGTCTGTATATATGTCGATTGATATTGAATTGAATCGATGGGGCTATGGCCCTGCCAATATAACTACACAAGCAAACGCTTTCAGTGCTGTGCATATGCTGGAGCCGTAGATAACCCAAGTTAAATGCATTTAACTGACAAGGACGTTGGCACTAGGAGTCCTTATCCTTTTGCTTTTTTTGTGTGTGTGTGTGTGTGTGCCTTATTGACATGTGTCCTGGCTGCCAGACTTATCCGTTAGTTGTCGTAGCAAGTCAATTATATATACACGCACGCCCACACACATAAACTCACCTACATATACATATTTGTATGTGTGTGTGTGCAGTTACATGTGAGATAAAATTTAAATCTGCGCCGTCTGTTCCAGGTGGAGAACTTGTGATTTATTGAATAAATCAGTGGGGCGTTCCACTTCACAAGCTCCTCAAATATTTATCAGTGCATCTGTGTGCGGCATACGCTGTCTGTTTGTGTGTGTGTGTGTGTATGTACGTGCGGTTTTTAAATTTATGTGCACTAGTAAATAGAATGGGCCTCCGCAGACCTGCTGAAAGCCGCAAGATGAGCCAATAAAACATATAAGATAACGCCGCGAAAAGTGTGTTAAACGTTAAAGATGAACATTTACATTTTTCCTCCTATTTTTTAACTTGCGCACACCAAATTTATTTGCACACAGTTAAGAGCTCGTCTAAAAAAAAAAAAAGAAGAAAAATCAAGTGCACTCACTTGAGACACCAGCTTGAGGCATGTCGATAGAAATTCATTAATTTAGATGCGAATATTTCAGATTTAACGGAGTCCTAAGCGGATTAGTTGGCAGATAAGAAGGTGTTCCGCTTGAGCATGTCGCAGTTGAAGATATGCTACAGCAGGGATTAAACAGGTGCTTGAATTATGCTGATTTAATTTCATTTATTCATTTATTAATAGTTTTTTATTAAAGTGTATTAAATGAAATTAGGCATTTTTTAAATTTTAATTTGTATTT